GGAGGAGGCGGGGACTCCTGGAACAGCCTGGCTGCTTTATGGAGTGATCTCATCCTGGGCACTGTGGATGTTTGGGCCTAGCAGGACTCCTTAACCAACCAGACTTGTGCAAGGGCATACATAGCTTTTTTTGCTTCTAGAGTAATGTCTTCTTGTCAACTGCACTTGGGGAGAGTCAGTCAGTTCCATTAGTCTAAAGTCAGGAACTACTCCAGAGAGCCACAGGCACAGCCAGGGAAACTACATCCAACTTCGTTGCGTTTTATGCATAAATTTGGACTATGGTAGATAATATAGGAAATAAAACATTTACCTTCAAATTCAAATTTGCCTTTCATTTTTGATTAGAGAGCTTAAACATCAGAGACTTAGCAATGGAAAGCTGAACTTGAAAATCCATCTACCAGGCTGCTTTGTCTGACAAAGATCGGGGGGGGGGGGGGGGGGGGGGGGGGGGGGGGGGAGGTTTTCTATTTTTTGTTTTCAGAGAATGGTGGTATTTGTGTTTTCCAGTTATATGGACCATTTGTTGACAAGAAGACATTACTCTAGAAGCAAAAAAAGTGGAACTTTCTCTTTTCCTTTGGGTTCACCTCAGGGGAACTTCTCTCCAGTGCTGTTTAGAACAGGCATAGAGAGAGCTCACCTGGGGGAACTATTTCTCCTCTCTATGTGCATTCCACTTTCACTGCAGAAGGCCCTGGATGAGAAGCCTGACCTCTCCTCACCTCCACACAGAGACCAACCCTGACCATGAGCAGGAGTCAAACAGTCAATCAAGCATGTGCCCCAGTCAGAGAGTGGGACAGGTGGAGGGTTTCTGTTCTTTGTTTGTTTGTTTGTTTTTCATTTTCCCTCTTGGTGACTTAGCAGAACCAAAGAAGTTTCCAGGCGCCCAGTAGGAGGGGCACAGGATCAAGTCAGGGTGTTCACACACCAGAGAAAACCACTGGTCGACACAGTAAAATAGAACTGAAAGAAACACATTCACACAGAGAACTGACAGAAACACACACACACACACACACACACACACACACACACACACACACACACACACTGGTGACCACCACATTCATACACCTGAAGAGACATGGAATCCAGTGACGTCTCAGATTCTGGAAACTGGATCAGTGACCTTATCAGACCTTTCCTATGTGTCTAAAGAGAAGGCGCCTTAACTACACTTACCTCTGGAACTGACAGACAAGGCGACTTTATGATTTGTTTCCTTTTGGGGTGGAGACATCAGGCTCCTCTGAAGCACTAGGGAGAAACTGATCAAAGAGAGCCCTGGGGACTTGGAACTCAGATTGCACACCCCCTAGGGCAGGGGCTCTCAACCTTCCTAAAGCCATTACCCTTTTTTGTTTGTTTGTTTGTTTGTTTGTTTTGTTTTGTTTTTCAAGACAGAGTTTCTCTGTGGCTTTGGAGGCTCTCCTGGAACTAGCTCTTGTAGACCAGGCTGGTCTCGAACTCATAGAGATCCACCTGCCTTTGCCTCCTGAATGCTGGGACTAAAGGCGAGTGCTACCACTGCCTGGTGCCATTACCCTTTAATACAGTTCCTCTTACTGTGCTGACCCCCAACCCTAAAATTATTGTTGTTACTCCTTCATAATTATAATTCTGATCCTGTTATAAATCATAAGGTAAATACCTGATATGCAGGTTATCTGATGTGTGACCTCTTTGAAAGGGACCTTCAAAAGCCAAAGGGGTACTGACCTACAAGTTAAGGGCCTAAAAGGAGCCTTAGAAGCTCCTTGACCTCCACATTCTTCTCTGCTCCAAGGGGCTCTGAGACCTCTTGTGTCTTCAGGTCTTGCAGTACTATCCCTGTGGGACTTCCAGCAATGTTGTGGGGTATTCACCAGAGAAGACCACTCAGACATAGATTTAAGTCAACAGAAACTCTTTATTAGATGATCAGCAACTATACCAGGTGTTTGGGATCCCAGTGCACCACCAAGCCTTTCTCAGGTCATGTGTTTAAGCACAAAACCACATTCTGGATTGACATACTTCAGTTAACAAGAATGGCTAGCCAGATGTGGAACTACAGAAGCTGAAAAGCAAGGTTAGTAATAATAATAATTTAGAGACTTGCCCTTAACCATGCACTTGGATGGATGGATTAGGCCTTTGTTTTATTTTTGGCAGGTGGTGCTGTGAGCTGAGTACAGCCTGAATGGTGCTTGCATCATGGAGTCAGTTGTGCTAAACACTGGGGCCCAGTTAGAGTTACCAGTGACAATGTCTTCTTCTTCTTCTTCTTCTTCTTCTTCTTCTTCTTCTTCTTCTTCTTCTTCTTCTTCTTCTTC